TCCTTTGCAAATTGGTTGCTTTGCTCCTGATCTCTAGAAGTGTTGCGGACAAAAGCAAAGCAACAAACTTGCAAAGGAACCGATCCTACGAGCTTTTACCTGCCACCCCGGACCATCACCACTGAGCTATTACGCTTCATAACTCCGTTCGGAGAGCCGTTTAGCAGATTTGGAAGGCAGATTTGGAATCAGCGTCTGGAGACGCATCAGGGGTATACATCTCATTTTATACGGCCACTTCGACCTACCATCCTTCCCTTGTAAGTTGATCGCATCGCATGCTCCAATCATTCTCGTTCGGATAAAACAGCTTTGTCAGTCATCATCGGTACATAAATTTTCGGGTATTCCAAAGTATCCTAATTTCTGGTAGATGAGCCCGCGCCGATATCACGTAAAAATATCTCCGCTCGTGCAGTGTAATTTTGTATACCTTAGAAACTAGAGTAAGTTTGCCGTCTGATTACGAAAATGACTTTCATTTTCAGCGGTGGCGCCATCTGGCGCCAGTTGGCGCCACCTTGTCACGACACCTGTTTTCACCAAATTTGGTGTAAACTTCCGTATAGGGGTTATTTGGTGTCCTGATTACGAATATGACATTCATTCTCGGCGCTGGCGCTATTTGGCGCCTATTTTCTGCTCGTCTGCGCTCTCCAACCGAGAAATATGCGTTGAACAACGTTAATGCCAAAAACGAATGTCATATTCGTAATCAGGGCCCAAATAACCCCTATACAGAAGTTTACACCGATTTTGGTGAAAACAAGGGTCGTGACAAGGTGGCGCCACCGCTAAAAATGAATGTCGTTTTCGTAATCAGCATATCGAATTACCCCTATGGGCAAGTTACGGTTGTCTCTAGATGTACGCAAGTACACTGCACCAGCTGAGGTGTTTTACGTGATATCGGGCGGACTTATCCACCGGAAATTAGGGTAGTTTTTCTATTTACTTTTTTTTCGAAAATCAGTCAAAATCACTACGAACTGCATTTTTGTGAGGCTTAATCTCCTTGGAATTGATGAGTCTTTGCTTTTCCGAAATTAAATGTCCGAAGGGTTGTGGAGTTTTGTTCCATCAGTTATTTGTCCCATGAACCGCAAATGATACCATAGTCTTTTAATGTAGCACTAACCGAGAGGTGCGGGTTGAGTCGCCTGGGGTTTCGTTTATACTCACTTAAGAAAATTTCGTAAGGCGAACTGCGACCAAAAACGGCAGTGTATCATCAAAGAACGAATCAAAGTTAATTGCTAAAGCTTTCGTTGTCGCGGCTCATCGCCGTGCCAACCTGCTGCATGCTATGCGTGATAACCTACAGTAAACATATCATGAAAAGAAGTTACGGCGAAACGGTGCCCGGTTACGCAGCTTGTAGCGCACCTGCCTGGTAGGTGAGAGGTGCAGGTTCGAGTCCTGCTGGAGGCGAAAGTTTTGTTCTAACCCAGCTCTATTGTAAGAGTATTAACAATTTTTCAAGGAAAATGACAAATTCATTGTTTTGTTACCTTAATTCAATTCTTGTTTCGGCATTCGACCAACCTTTGGGGGAATCTGTGCCGTCTGCAATTATGTTACTTACGTGATGCCTTGTCACAACCTCAGCAGCATGTGCCTTTGCGTTTTTCGTGCTTCACTTTAACAGTGGATCGAATTACTATCAATTCAAACATTGATTACTTTCACAACACATGTAGTTCCCATATGAAATAACTTTTATAGCGCCATCTGAATGGAAAGGTATGCACGATCTTTCAAGAAACATAGTTCGCGGGATAACTGGTGTGTAATGCGTTTCCTTGAGAGGCTAAACAAGCAGAACGAAGAATGTGGGAAAGGCGATTTTGTCTCACAAGAATGTGCATCTGTTCGAAGAGTTCAACATCTCAAACTTCACTGCTAGAGAAGCTACTGCATCTTGTGACAGTAGTCAATTTGGTAGCGGTGACATGCTGGCAGCACCTGATCCGTACGCTACGCAGAGAGCTCCGAGTTTTATCCGTGAAGAGCAGTCGGCTTGATGAAGATAAGGAACAACAAACTCTTCTGAGGTGCACATTCTTCATCCTGTCAAGTAAGAATCGCGTCGGATAATATATTCTTCAGTTGGACACTTTTGTTGGCGGCGTACCGTTTCAGATCTCGCTCGAAGAGAACCTCAATCCGTGAATGCCGACGGCTGCCAGTTTAGTCAAGGTCTATCGGTCAACAAGGAGAATTGTGCTATAAACGTGAACGAATGTGGACGCCACTGCTGGACCTCTCCAGAACTATCGTTCTGCGGGCGAATTCTTTTTGCAACATTCAGGGGCTTGGGGATGATATCAGCGAATTTCCAACAAATTTTTTGGAGGAAGAGAAGAAACCGGTATGTCTGTACTAGGTATTTTCTTTTTTATTTTTTATTCCCCTTGTTTCGCACATTACTTTTCAGGATTTCACTACCAGGGATGTGAACGAAGTTCAAGGCGAACCTCTTACCTTGGAAGACGATGGCGACGCGGTTTGTTCTATAGCTTTCTCGAGAATTCTTTGTCTTTCTGGGTTTCTTTATGTGTGCCTATGGGAATAGCGAACCTGCAAAGCCTGCCGCCATGCTAGTAAAGAATACAATCACATTTGTGCCTCAATCTCCTTATATTCTTTGTTATATTTGATGCGGTTTGCGATTCATCAATTTTTAGGGTTCTGCGGAGGATTTGAAGTTCAAAGATGGCGTAACTGTAACTATTAGTGGAGCCAGAGATAGTCTACTTGATGGTGCTCTTATGAATGGAGATGTAGCCTCCTTCTACATCGTACACTATATCCCGCATGCGATGCTACCGAATGATTGGCCTAAGTTCGCGTTGCTGTTTTGATGGCTTTTTATTGAAGAGCTTTGTAATTAATTTCTAGTTGCTTCAGAAGAAGTAAAGTGTATTTTGCGAACACTGACCTGTATCCCATGATTAGCCGTAAATGCCGCAACAAACTGATCCAACAAAGTGGTGGAGAAATAACAGCTGAAACGGTGATTTGTTAAATATTTTATGACTGTGAGGTGTGCAGCTCAATTTGTCTTTGTTTCAGGTGAGGGAAGTCTTCTTGTCAAGAAAGGGTACGGTACCGCTCTATCTGGTGAAACTTGTAGAAGCGGAGCTTTCTGTCATCCCAATAATTTGGGAGAACCATTGGTTGGAGCAAATTGTTTTTTTCATAGGGCATTCAAATGCAATTTTGTGGGAATGAGTTAACAAAAATTAGGTTGTTCGGAAAGTAATGCGGGTTTCGAGATGCTGTGCATACCTGAGATTTCTAATACAGAAATTTCTTTCGAAACTTGAAGTCCTATATATCATTGGCGAGCCTAGTATGTCCTTTCCTTCAGCATATGGTAATTTTGATATGACTTGTTATCTTGAGGTTTTTATAGATTTGAACTGAAGGTGTCAAGACAGTATTTTGGCAAGTTTACTTCGATGTGCTGAAACTCTGACGTAGTGCTACATAGACATGTAGAAATAACACTGAAGGAAGGGGCCAGGAGAGCACCAATAAAAGCGCAGAACACCACTGGCTCCAGGTGAAGATGAAGGAAGCCATGAGCATGGTTCTGTTGAGGACGGCCTTCTGAAGATTCTGTGAGGGATGTTCCGGGTTAGCTGTCCCATCGCTAGCAGTAGGAATAGTAGTAATGACATCAGAAGTATCGCAGCTGCCGAAGAATTAGGAAAAGGAAAGCTAAACAGGTGGTTACAGCATGAGCTGGCTGGGGAGCAGCGAAATCGTTTTCTAAGGTGTCATTTCCACCCATTTTACTTGCCAAAAACTTCCAGCATTTTGAATGTAATCTCATCCATGACGAATAGTGGACTTCTTCGACTAGAGGAAGTCATCTCTACAGCGCTCTAGGCCGCGATGAACCTTCAAAAAATGCTGCAGAGCCCCAAATTGTAGTTTACTGAAGGTGAGCTGAACATACGTTGTTCTTCTACAGGACCGATGCAGACACCTTTTGGAACCAGGTGACTTGAACACAACACTGTCTGTCTAGCACACCGGTGAGATGCTCTAGAAACGCCAAGATGTTCAGCCGAGAGAAGTGAAATGACCCTCTTACACGATCTGCTCAGCCACAAGGCTCGTGAACGACCTCTCGATGATTTGACAAACTGGCGTACGAAGCTTCGCTCCACACGTCGTAACTTCTACCCTCTCCCTCACCAGGCCCCCTTTCCTTTCCGACCATTTCCACAACATCTTGAATAAAAATGCTTCAAAGCTTGATTGATGTGGAAATAATGCTCGCCGATATCATCGCCTCCAGAAGAGCTCATTTCAGTTTGGGAGGGACACTCGAGTATGCATCTTGCGAAGGAAAATCTAGTTCCCAACATCCTATGTTCCAATCAAAGGTATGAAATCCAAATGAATATGGCTGTTCGAAAATGGCAGTCAAAAACGCGCATTTCGTCCCGAACAACCTGATAAATGTAGGTATGAACTTGTAGTTGACGCTTAAACTGCTCTGAAAAGCTATATTTTAGGCTATTGGGATTGATCCAAATGCACGCTCCCGAAAAGGTGAGTTCTTTGAGTTCTCCATTTTGCGGTTTTTTTAAAAGACTAGGCGCGTTGGGAGTATTGCAGGGCCTTGATGATTGCATCTGAACTTGCCTTGAGGATGTTACAGTCGATATCCGAAAGTTGGGGTAGGTGTGGCACCGGAAGTGACGTGTACTTGATAGAAGTTGCGTGGATAAGCTGTTGCCAGCATGCTTTGCTGATATGCCGCGATGTATGTTGGAAGCAACTTATCCACGTAGCCTCTATCAAGTGCACGTCACGTCCGGTGCCACACCTACCCAACTTCGACCTAATAGTTACCAGTTTAGCTCCGCCCGCTACCGCGCGCATTGATAGAACTGACAATCGATGAAGCTTTAGGTTTCACCGCTAAATTATAGCTGCTTCGTTAAATGTATTACTGTCCGTTGCATAGGCTGCCCATCTTGGCTGTATCTCACTGTTTGATAAGCGCAGTGAAGTGCACAGCTAAAGTGATGATGTAAACAACCACTATGCGTCGAGTATCGAGGTAATTTAGCGGTCGAATATCTCAAAACGGAATGCCCAGTATTCATATCATATTTATTCGAGCATCCCATTCATCCTCAAGAACTCTAGAAGGTGTAGCGGTCGAAAGGTGTGAGTTTACAATTACAACGCTGATGAAATGATATTGAAATGAAAGGCATTATCTACAATCTGCTCTCTATTTTCTATTTCAAGTGCTCTCTACGTTCGTACGCATATCGTTCCTATCAGTCCTCTCGTTATCACTTTTTTGACCCCACCAAATATGTTCCCGTCCCACCCCTATATCATGCCCCAAAATCAGCTCCTGACGACTGCTGCGAAGCGCACTATGAATTTCGTGAAATTTGTGTTTCAGCGCCTCTTATCTGCTCTTATCAGTCGTTATCACTTTGTGACCCCCACCAAATATGTTCCCGTCCCACCCCCTATATCATGCCCCAAAATCAGCTCCTGACGACTGCTGCGAAGCGCACTATGAATTTCGTGAAATTTGTGTTTCAGCGCCTCTTATCTGCTCTTATCAGTCGTTATCACTTGGTGACCCCCACCAAATATGTTCGTCCCACCCCCTATATCATATCAAAAAATCTGCTTCTAACGGCATTTCGTGAAATTTGTGTTTCAGCGCCTCTTATCTACTCTTATCAGTCGTTATCACTTTGTGACCCCCACCAAATATGTTCCCGTCCCACCCCCTATATCATGTCCCAAAATCAGCTCCTGACGACTGCTGCGAAGCGCTATGAATTTCGTGAAATTTGTGTTTCAGCGCCTCTTATCTGCTCTTATCAGTCGTTATCACTTTGTGACCCCCACCAAATATGTTCCGTCCCACCCCTATATCATATCAAAAAATCAGCTCCTAACGACTGCTGCGACGCGTGCTATGAATTTCGTGACACACACACACAGACAGACAGACAGACTTAGCGCTTTATATATAGTAGGGATTGTGCGGTGCACCTCT